CTGTATAACCCTTTAAAATAATGTATTATACATTAGGTAATCTTCCCAATATATATATAATGAGTTAATTAAAAATTGTCTAAAGCAAATTTTTAATTCTCTAAGGAGGGAGTTGTAACGAATTTATCATTATGTATTTTTTTTTAATATGAACGTTGTTTGGATTGAATTTGTATTTAGAAGTAGGCTTGACTTGTATTATCAGATATGTGTTGTGTATAACGAATTTGTGATATATTTATTTTAATGTGAACGTTTGTTTCGAATAAGTTTATATTTGAGGGCGTGCCTAGCTTACCGTGTTAGTTATGTATGGCGAAATTCCCGCCAATTCTCCAAGATTGTAGAACATTCGTGAACAAGAATCAACAATGTTATCTATTTCCGTATCCGGTATTATTAGAAGGTTCTAGAAGATGTGTTTAGCCTGTAAAGTAGCACGGCATCGCGCCAAAAAACAACAACAACAAAAAACAGACAGGCCTACTATGAAACCGTTATAACCGTGTGAGCTATAAACTGTGATTTCGTTAACCCTTATAAACCGGAAAATATACGACATTTGACCAGGAACAGTTATAAATTTCGAACGTCAGTGAATTCCCATAAAACGTTAATACCTCTCCAAGAATACTACCAATTTCTCATCGGACATTAGTGATTTTGTGAAAATATTATCTTACTTCAACGGTCTAACAATTCAGTGCATGACAGAACTAGTTAGCTTCCCGCCGATCATACGTGTACGTACACCTCGCCGAATATCAAGGAGACTCTGAACTAGAAAGACGATTTTAGGCTATTTGTAAGTTATTGAAATTTCTGTCTGTTTGTTTGTTTGTTTTGAATTTCGCGCAAAGCTACATGAGGGCTATCTGCGCTAGCCGTCCCTAATTTAGCAGTGTAAGACTAGAGGGAAGGCAGCTAGTCATCACCACCTACCGCCAACTCTTGGGCTACTCTTTTACCAACGAATAGTGGGATTGACCGTCACATTATAACGCCCCCACGGCTGAAAGGGCGAGCATGTTTGTTGTGACGGGGATTCGAACCTGCGACCCTCAGATTGCGAGTCGAGCGCCTTAACCACCTGGCCATGCCGGGCCCATTTCTGTCTGAAAACTTTGTAATAATTAATCATAATGGTTGCTATTGTAAATTATAGTGTTGTATATACATATTAAAGCTTATTTGTGTCAAAACCAAAAACGGTGTGAATCAATCTTGTTGGCGAATAGCGTAAATTAAATAAAAAACAGGCATATTTCTAAACCTAAATCCAAGGTACGTCTCAACTAGTAAAAGTTAAATTATTTAACGCGGCCTTGGATTGTTTCAAATTTTCAATATGTAACAGGTAGGAGAACAGTTCTCTCTCTTTGGACTTGTATAAAATCTTAGAATACTTTCGTCAGAAGATTTCGTGAACTTACCCGAGTATTTTGTTTCAGGAGTATCACATAATTTAACCATCATACCAGATCGCTTACTTGTTGTCGGTGAAGGAGATGGGGTCAGCTGTTCCATGTCTGATAAGGAAGGCACTGGATGGATTAAAAATATATATAGTGACAGAAAAAAAAACGGTGAACAGCAGTTCTCGATACTTGATAATTATTGAGGTTACTCACTGGACAATTTACAATGTAATAATAATCATTAATAGTGTTTGTTTTTGAATTTCGCGCAAAGCTACACG